CGTTTCATTGGTCTCATTGTCTTGGTTTGAGGGTCAGGAACAGCTGCCTACTGTAAGGTCTCCCTTGGCAATGACCCATCTGATTTTGACCCAGATGCATTCAATGTGGCTTCCACAGTTACCATAGTTGACTTCTATACATTCAAGGTTCTCCTTAACACAGAGTGCGACTCCTCCACCTCTTCCACCCTGCCTGCCTTTACGAGATAGCCTATAGCCATCAATCCCGATCCCCCAGTCATCGGAGTTGTCCCACCATCTTTCAGTTATTCCTGTGATACCATAACTTTCTGACTGGGCTCAGAGCTCCAGTTCCTCCTGTTTGTTTGCGAGACTGCGTGCGTTAGTATACGTACACTTTAGGTGGCCAGACATTCAACTCTCATTTAGGGAGATAGCCGAGGCACATTTGACACTGCTCTGGTGTGCCTGATTGGCCTGACTTATTCCCCTCTTGGATGTAATGGTGATGGTGGCATGAGCAATGCCATTTTGGATCCCTCCCCGTGAGTCCTTCAGTTTAAAGCCCACCTCACCAAGTTGGCCAGTCTGCTGCCAAAGATTCTCTTGCCTCCCATTACTCCTCAGCTTATTTCTAGTGAGCCTCGTATTACCCCCTCCCAACTTCAAACCTAGTTTAAAGCCTTCCCTGTTAACTTCTGTGCAAGGATCCTTTTACCCCATTGAGAAAGTCAAATTCTACCAGTTTCCAGAAGGCTCGGTGCTGTGTAAACCTTCCCAACAGCATAAAAATCAAAATTCCGCCAATGGCCCCATCCTCTGAGCCATGTATTGATCTGGAGTGTTTTGTGGTTCCTATCAGTATTCTTCCCTGCTACTGAAGGAATTGAGGAGAACACTACCTGCGCTCCCGATCCTTCAACCAACCGCCCCAGTCCCCTGAAGTCCCTCTTGATTGCCTTTGCAGTCTGCTGCTCTGCCTCATCGCTACCAACCCGAACAACTAGCAGTGGATAATAATCAGAGGGCCGTACCAGATTAGGGAGTTTCCTGGTAACATCTCTAACCCAGGCCCCAAGGAGGCCGCAGACTTCCCTGTGGGATAGGTCCGGTCAGCATACTGGACCCTCCGTTCCTCTCAGAAGGGAATCACCTACAACAATTACCCTCCTTTTTTTCTTGACTGTTGCAGTCGTAATACATGGAGCAGACTGACTGACCCTAGGCAAGCCCCTGGATGGGCTTTCTTCAACATCTTTGTTTGCCTGGCCCTCAAATTCCAGAGACCCATATCTCTTCTGGAAGGGCAATTGGGAAGGTGAGGGAGGCAGGGAGGGGATTTTCCTGCCGTGACGAGCAGGGACCTGCTTCCATTCCCCTTCATCTCTTAGGCGCCCTCCTTCTGCTTGGTGGCAAGAGGGTCGGGGATCCTGTGTTTCTTGTGGAGCCTCCATCTCCTGTCTTTGCCTCAGGGTGTGGCTTCACCAACAGAGCTCCTGCTCGCACTCTCTAATACTCCTCAGCCTTTCGACCTCCTGCTTTAGCTCAGCCACCAAGTGGAGAAGATCGTTCACCTGGTCACACCTCACACAGGCGCTGTCACTGCTGATCTCCTGTAGGCGTGACAAACTCAGGCACTCCCTGCAGCCACAGACCTGGACTTGAGCATCTTTGAATGGGAGCTCTGCCTGAGTCTCCACACTCCTCCTGGTGCTGATCTTCGAACCATTGCTATTCCTTTTCTGGGAGGGTGATTGCGCCCTCTCTGCACCCCCTAACTGCTCCCCTGCCGACGCAAGCTGCCGCGCCACGCTCTGGTCGCTAGCGCTCCCTGGGGACTGCTTTTCTACCTGACGGGATCAACCGCCGTCGGAGCTCACGTTTCCTTCCCTCTCTGGGGGAGGCTGGGTCGGGACACCCTTTCTTTCCCGGTGCTTTTTTTGCCTTCGCGCTAGTTTTTTTTGCCTCGGCTTTTGCACGGTTTAGCCGCTTTTGTCACTTCAGCAAGGTCACCCAGCGTGATCCTCTGCTCTGGAGCCCTTCACCTCGGCCTTCTGGGCTGCGAGTGTGCATTGTTGGCATATGTCCAGCGTTTTGTCCACCAGTACCCCCAAGTCCTTTTCTACAGGGCCGCTCACTATCACTTCACCCCAAGCCTGTAGCCCTAATGAGGATTGTCCCTACCCAGCTGCAGAACCCTGCACTTGGCCTTGTTGAACCTCATGACGTTCACCTGGGCTCATTCCTCCAGCTTGTCCAGGTCTCTCTGGATGGCATCCCACCCCCCTGGCACGCCAGCCACACCACTCAGCTTGGTGTCATCTGCAAACTTGCTGAGGGTGCCCTCGATCTCCCTGTCTGTATCAGTGGTTAAGATATTAGACAGCACTGGTCCCAGTACGGACCCCTGAGGGACACCACTCATCACCAGTGTCCCTCTCGACATCGAGCCATTGGTCACTACCCTCTGGATGTGACCAGCCAATCAATTCCTTATCCACCGAACTGTTCACCCATCAAATCTGTATCTTTCCACCTTAGAGAGAAATAAATGGCTTTTTTCTTTTTAAATGGTTTTCACTGTCATAGTTCAAGAATCACAGGAAACCCTGTGTAAACGTCTGCTGCTCTGCTCATATTAGGTAAACAGCCTCTGTTGGGGAGTAGAGGACTCCTGATCTTTCCACTCAATTTGTGGAATTGAAACATGACTCTAAGCAGTCTGTACTTTTTATGGACCAGGAAAGATACCTTGGGTCATCTTGCATGTCACTAAAACTTGTGTTTAGGGAACTGAATCCCAGTCTTACTGCAGGTCAGGGACATTGAACTCTCTAGGAAGCTTTGCAGCATTACAGCTACATGGGTGGCCTTCCCAACTTCTTAATGCTGCACTTCAAAATCTCAGTGTTCTTGGTGACGCAGAGGACAGGAGCCGGCCCCGTGCTGCAGCGCCTGTTGCCATCCAAAAGCTGGAGCTGCTCCCGGAGGTGCACAGGAGACTCCGGGTGCATTCAGCAAGGAAATACCAGGAGATAAAGCTGCAAAGTTTCCCCGCGGTGGTGCAGAAGTCCATGGCAATGCTGCATCGCTCAGTGCCTAAACCAGTGCAGGCTGGGGCTGGGCCGCTGGGGCCATGCAGTGCCTCTCTGCCCTTACAGCACCTCGTCCAGCCGGACCAGGACACGCGGCAGCAGCTTGGGGCATCCCTCGACCAACCGGTGGCCCCCACGACACCACGCTCCCACTGGGGGCCAGTCCTCACCTCCACCCCCGTGTGCAGGAAGGAGCGCAGCCAGGCATGCCTGGAGGCCAGCACCGAGCCCAGCACATCCTGTGGCACTGGCAGTGAGATGGGCCTGGCCGCCACGGGTGCAATCCTGAGGACACCCCTGGGATGTGGGGTGTATGTGGGATACATGGATGGCCTTACCAACTTCGTAATGCTGGACTTCGAAATCTAAGTGGTCTTGGGTAGACGTAGATACATTTTCTTAAGGTGTTGAAATATACTTAAAAAAAGAAAACAAACCTAAAACCAAGAAAATCCCAGAAATTCGAGAATGTATTACCCAAGGGAAAAACTCTTTGGTCATTACAGTTGACTTTTGAACCCATTGTCAGCATGAAGGACAGCTGAGAATGAATGAAGCTTAAATTATTTCCACTGGTTTACCATGAAAAGTGTGCATTTGTTATCACTAAGATACGAGTTCCTACAGGAAAGTCATTAGCTTATCCTTTACACCAAGACAGCAACCACAAAAAAAGGCCGCTAAGAAATACATCGTTGATGTTTAGTTTTAGTAAGGAGTAGCATGCAATCAACAAATTGTCTTCAGTTATTTAGAACCAGGCACAACAGCTGGAAAGACATGCCATAGCACTTCAACACAGCCTGAGGTCCATCTCAAGCTGAAGGATTTTATCATCCCAGCATGAAGTCTCGTTGCTAAGATATACTTGGATTTATAGCTACAACACACCGAGGAGACTGCACAGCACTCCCCCTCTCTGCACATCCATTTCCACCTCTTTGTCAGCCATGCCCCCTCTCTGGAAGTGTTCAAGTCCAGGTTGAATGGGGCTTTGAGCAACCTTGTTTGGTGGGAGATGTGCCTGCCTATGGCAGGGGTTGGACTGAATCACAGAATCACAGAATCACAGAACGTTAGGGATTGGAAGGGACCTCAAAAGATCATCCAGTCCAATCCCCCAACTGGGGGGGACTGGATGATCTTTAAAGTCCCTTCTAACCCAAACCATGCTGTGATTCTATGATTCTATGCCTTCACTTTTTGACTGGAATGAAGCACTGTTCCTTGCTGTGGACTCACACAGACCTGTAAACTTCCTTCAGCCTGCCAACACTAAGAAGAGCCAGGGTGTGCCTGTGCAATGGTCACAAAGCCCATGACTGCAAAGCCTCCCTTTCCCCACACTGGCCATAGCCTTAGAAAGCTACCTAATGTATAGACATCAACCCAGTTGACATCTCTAGTTTATGGGACTTTATTTGCACCCTGGTAGACTGTTTTGAGATAAGTGGTACAAACTATGGCCAGATTGTGCCTGGTGACACTGCAGTTGTGTTCTTGGCACACTGGTTGGAAACACACCCAGACTGATGACCATAAGTGATGGAAAGGAGCCTTCCTTTTCGTCAATCTCCCACGAAGACGCAATGTGGTCAGTAAGAGTCACCAGTCCTGTAAGCTGCTTTAGTACAGAAGAACACATATCTAAGTGTGCCTACAGTACCAATTGCCAACATTCATGCTCTCAGATAGGCATCCAGTACCCGTGTCTAAGGCTGAGGCTCTCATCTAAGCTTCCTCTGTGCACAGTGGAAAAAAACATGCCAGCTGAAGCCATCTCCTCCTGCGATGATGACCTAAAGTTCTGCCATCTGGTTAGCCTCCTAGAGGTGCACACCTCTCCCTTTTAATGGTACAGGGAGCCCAGAGAAGAAGTTTTGATTCCAGCATCTAGCTTTTAGATGGCTGAAGTTAGAGAAGATCTGTCACTAACTGCAGTGCCTATCCAATTGCTGGGGTTCCAGAGGATGCCAGAGACCGAGAGCGATGTTCTTGTCTTGTTAAAGCAGTTCTTACCTGGCTGATCACTCTTCTTAGGGCACATTTAACTTCTTTGTTCCTCAAGCTGTAGATTATGGGGTTGAGCAGGGGAGTGAGGATTCCATAGAGCATGGAAACTATCCTATCCTGATTTAGTGAGTAGGTGGAGGAAGGCCGTACATATGAGCAAATGGTGGTCCCATAGAAAAGGCATACCACTGCTAAGTGAGAACCGCAAGTGGAGAAAGCTTTGTGCCTGCTCTCAGAAGAGTTCTTGCACAGGATAGCCAACAGGATGTAGATATATGAGACAAGAGTGACCACAAAGGCGCTGCTTCCGAGGACCCCAGCAACTGTGAGAGTTACCAGTTCCCTACTATAAGTAGGCAAGCAGGAGAGGGCCAGCATAGGAGCAATATCACAGTAATACTGGTCAACTTCATTAGAATCACAAAAAGAGAGTGTAAAAATCAAAGATGTGTGCAACAGAGAATTCAAAAATCCTACTACCCAGGTGCCAATGGCTAGGTGAGCACACACTTTCATGCTCACAATATTCATGTACTGCAGCGGATTACATATTGCAATGTAACGGTCATACGCCATCACAGCCAAGAGAAAAATCTCTGTGCCTACAGCATCAATGAGGAAAAACAACTGGAGCATGCAGCCAGTGAATGAAATCACCTTGTTCTCAAGCAGCAAGGCCTCCAGCATCTTCGGCACCGTGACAGTGGGACATAAGATATCCAGTAAGGATAAATTGCCAAGGAAGAAGTACATGGGGTTGTGCAGACGAGTGTCTGTGCTAATGGCAACAAGGATTGTGATGTTGCCTGCAATAGTGGCCAAATAAATGATCAGAAACAGCACAAAGAGAAGAAAACGGACTTGTGGAGCATCAGAAAGGCCTATGAGAACAAATTCAGATACTGATGATAGGTTGGCCCTCTGCATCTTATCTTTCATTGTGGTAATGATTGCAGAGGTTTACCTGGAAGAAAGAAGAAGTTGTAACTTAGTCAACATTCCCTTCTAAACAATGTGATCTTTTTGGTCTGTTTTGCAGTTCAAAAACATTTGCAAGTTTGCATTGCCACACTCAAAATCTAAATCTTACATGCATATACCTAATGTAAAAGGCAAAATACAGAAATTAAGCTTAACAGTGACTAATAAAAAAAGTTTAATTCTTGCAAGCCATCTTCTCAGACTGAAGAGCTGAAAGTTGAAGACAAAGATACCTCCTCTGTGGTGGTGAGCTTGGTCGGACACAGCCCCGAGCATTCTGACTAGGTTTTGCAGGCAGCTATGCTATGAGCAAGGCAGGTGGAGTCCAGATCTCTATACATCTGTTCACTAGAAATTAGTAATACCACCAAAGGGGTCTAGATGACTAGCTGAAGCTAAATACCCTTTTTTTTAAAGTGAGCAATGCTATCACAGAAGAATTACATCTCTGGTAATCAACAGTCAGGTAGCATGTCCCAGATGCATTTTGGGTTTTTTCAGCTTTATTCTGTGGGATATAAAAAGAGATATAATCTAGTATCCAATTAAAGACCTCCCTCCTTTCTATAAAATTTACCCTGTAGACTTCCATAACAGTATTAGTACTTCTAGGATCTAACTGGACTTCCCTTCCAGCCGCCTTTTCCCAATTCAAAGATGTCCAGGAAGACTTGGCATTGAAGGATCTTTCCATCTACTCTGCATTGCTGCACTGAATGTAATGCAGTACCTATGGTAATAATTTATATAGCAGTCTTGTAAGATTAAAGCATGATTATGAGATGGTGTGAATATTGTAACACATTCTGATTTGTGAGAGATAAAGAGAACAAATGAAATAGGTGACTATGATGTCCTGTCTGAGACAGGTTCATCTGTTGTCTCATGTTCTCACAGAAGCTTACTTCCAGCTTGAAAGGGACCAAAGTCAGAGCTTAAACTACCATAAACAATACTTTTAGTCAGCAAAAATAAAAGACACAGGGTGCTTTAAATCACAGCATCGCTTGATCTTAAAATGGGGAACTTATTCAGGTGAAATACAACAGAAACTCAACACAAAAATACTCACTGCTACAAAGAATTAATTACCGGTAATATATGGTCATCTCATATCTCCAGGAAACATGACTATCCTTTTTGTCCTTTCTACATTGAATTAGAATATGTACGTATGACAGAAAAACAAATTCACTGTAGACTCAGGAACATCAGTCTGTTAATGAAGTGATGGGTCCATATTTATCAGCGTAAGAATATTCATACCGACATCTGCAAGCACTGGCAAAAATGCTCGCTTGGCTGCAAGGGTAAGCATCTCTTTTCTTTAATGAGGTTTTATAAACACATGAGGGTGTGTCTGGGGAGCAGTGTCTCTGAAGCTTTTTTGAATGCTACCTTTATTGCCTATATGAGGCTTTTTCAGAATATTGTCAAAGGGGGCTAGAAATATGGTAAACTATTTCTTCACCCTGAATCCTTTGATTCCTATTAATTTCCTGCTGTAGGACCCTTTTAAAAGTGATGTGGTTTGATACTTGAGTCTACTCCCAGGTAAAAGAGATGGTGTCATTCTCCCTAGGTCCTGCCAGCCCACCTCAGGTGCCACTCCAGGTTACGGAAGTTTTACATGTCACAAGAATCCAGTGTTCAGATCTTTTCAAATTAAACAACAGCCTTAAAATTACTTGATCACAAATTGTTTTCAGATTTGTCCCGCTCTGGAGCCTGAAGTCTATTGCTTACACATATTGGATCAAAATGTATTTGGCAACAGGTACTCTGAAGAAGAGCATACCTCAGACGAGGGCAGTGGAACCAGTGTCTCTGCAGGGCAAAGAGCAGAGCCTGAGTGACTGTGGAATGGTTCTACTGGTGTTGCATGGGCAGCCAGCACAGCATCATGTGCCAGTGTAAACGCCTTCCATGTTGATTTTATGAGCTCTCTCTCTAATTCTTGTAGAGGAGCAACCTTTTAATTTTGCATAGCCCCTACAGAAAATTATTGTTTTCACACTTGTGAAATCCATGCACTACATGAAGCAGATGTGTACCCTGGCATAAGAGGGAACATAAATTACCAGCACTACTTTGAAGAGTTAACAAAAAATCCCCTCTGGTTCCAGAAAGCATCCGTGCATTATGCATTCATTCATGGGAGCACCACTTTCCAGCTGGTGTACAGGAATGGGAACAGGCCTGTGCCTATTCCAGTATTACTTGCCCATAACTTCTGCACTGTTAACATGAATGACAGTGTTTGTCAATCATTCTTAAAGCCTATTTGCTATGGTTGCAGTGTGTGACTCTTCCAAAATGAAGACTTTTGCATATATGTCAGAATATAAACTGCAGTTCTCCAGAGGTTACAAAGCACAAGCCTATCCTGCCATAGTTGTGTAGATCTGTGGCTGGAATAAATTCACGTGGTCCAAATATTTCTGTGTACCGCAGTTAGCCCTAGGACCATCAGACATCATACTTCCCATGAATTTTGCAACAAAGAATGGAGCTAATTACTTTGTAATAAACACAGATGCCAGAAAGAGAGAAGTCTTATTCATAGCTGTAAGAAGAAGTAGGACTGTGCCCTTCCATCTTCCTACACTGATTTCATGCCACTTCTGCCAACTGACAGTTACGCATCTTCTCCTTTAACAGCCACGAGAGGGCAAAACCTCATGCAAAGCCCCTGTGGGGTACAAGGTTTTGAAGTACGCTGCTGTACCTACGGTCAAGAGAATATGTCTTAACACTGGCCACGAAAGGAAGCCTCCTACTGTTTGCTTTGGGTATTTCTAATCTAAGACCTTATGTCTAAAGCCCAGTGCTGATAATCCAACCGTAGTACAACACATTGGGCTAAACTATTCATTGCTAGCCACCAGCATGACAGACCTGTGGTAGCTATCTATCTCACCAAAATGCAAACTTCTAAAAAGTGGTGGTGTGGTAACGTGTGCAAGTATAAACACCTTCAAGAGGAGGTTTGCATCACAATCTTAAATGATTCTTTTGGGGTAGGATGCATTGGCCCCATAAGGTGGGACTATGGAGAGCACTTTGGGTTGCAGACTCTCAGTGCTACATCTAGTGCTCAGTTGTGTATTTGCAGGGATATTCTTAGCTGGGTTATTAGGAGTAGAAACACAGAACAGTATTAAAGATATGCTTTTAGCCTTTCTTCTTTTAGCCATCTTCTTTTTTAGCCTTTCTTTCCTCAGTGGTCACCATCCCCAGAGGATTTCACCTGTTGTTCCTCTCCAGAGGCTTTCTACTGCATTGCAGATGGACTCTGTACTCACTGTCAGATTTCTTGGCAATGTCCTCTCTTCTAAAATTAAATTTGGGATTTTATTCAAAACTTTTCCCCCTGTTTGCCAGGTTTTGGCAAGAAGGGGCAGCCAGAAGAGGTCTGCAGAGCAGGAGCCCTGGAACAGCTCTGGATTAGCCTTGTCTTTGGCAAGAACCATTTCTGAGTTTAGTTTTTGTGGTGAAGACCAGATTCATCCCTCCACAGTGTGTCACCCCACAAGAGAGAGAGATTTGAAATTAGGCCAATCCAAGCAGTTTTACAGCCGCACCCCCACAGCAGTGCAATGTATATAGCTTTGCTTGACCCACAGTCTGTAAATAAAATTGAGTAGACCAGGATCTCTTCAGTTTTCTTGGACTTTAACAAAAACTGCATAGATATCCTGCCAGTTTTCAAAGTCCTTTTCTTTTTCCTTTGAGGCAATCTTTCACTGTCCTCTGGATTAGGGCAATAATCAAGCCTGAGCTGCAAATTTCCAGGGAGAAAAAACTTGAGATTTTAATGATGCACAGTGGAGCCAATTTAGACACACTTATAAACTCATCTGCCAAGTTGCACTGTTGCAATTTGTCAGGCACCAACTTTTTAACAACATCTACTGAGGCCTTATTAAAATCATCCTGAGTTGTTTTCTGGAGAAACAAATAAATTATATTAAATTGCCTGTCCTGAGACACGGGCTCCCCAAAACCATATGGAATTTGCAGTTGGCTTCCTTGTCAAACATCAGAGTGATTATTTCAAATCCATATATGCAATGATCTGTATAGCGTTACAGTAAAGCAAAGGAAATAGCAGGCGTTTCCCCTAGAGTACAAGTGGAACTTAGAAAAGAGATAGTAGGAAATTACAATTTTGTGATTACAGATAGAACAAATAAACAGCTGAAATTCAGCACTGGTTCTGATGGGGACTTCATTAAATCAGACAAAAGCTGTTAGTCATCTACTAGTAGTTATCAGCCTGGTGTGCCCCTTTTGCACACTTCCCCTTCTGACTCCCTAGCACAAACATTTCCTCTTAATGGGATATAGCATAATGCTGATTGGGAAAAAATGGCAATTGGAAAATCCTGTGTTGAACAAAAATGTCCATCACTGATGCAGACTATGAAACAGATTGCCTCATATGAAGAAAGCTTTTACAGTAACATAATTGAAGTGGCACAGTGTACTTCCTACAGAAGGTCCAGGCCCCACCACTTCCACAAACAGCAAAGTCCTTTCTAGTTTTAACATCCATGGGTTTTGCTGCACAGCCTCGTGTCATGGAGTATGGCTGAGAGACAAGACCAAGTCTTGAATTTTCTCTGTCGTCTCAGAGGTCCAAATTAAAACAAAGTCTGAAACACTGTCATGAAGAGAAGTCGCTCAACTTGGACACGCACCTTACAAAAACCCACCCACTTGCCACCCACAGGGTCTCTCGTTGTGCCCAGCACTTTAATCCTGCCCACTTCGGTCTCTGGTTGGTTGTCCTTGGTTTAGATGTAGATGTCCTCCTGGAACACAGGAGGTTCCACTTAAATTTGAGAAGAAACTTCTTCTCAGTGAGGGTGACAGAGCACTGGCCCAGGCTGCCCAGAGAGGTTGTGGAGTCTCCTTCTCTGCAGACATTCAAAACCCGCCTGGACGCCTTCCTGTGTAACCTCATCTGG